AACGACATCAGGCCCAAACCTGGCGGGCGCAGGCCTGGAAAACTGACGGCCACGGCGCCCTCTCGAGAACCGAAAACGGACAATGCACTAATCGACGTGTCAGGGCGGGGCTTTTGTCCACCCCCGATGTATTTCAAGCTGGAAATCACATGTCCTCGATGGAATCCAAACACCCGCGGTTCTGCCCTGTATCGATGCGGGTGGGGAGCAGGCGGCTCGAAGTACTTCCGTGGAGTGGGAGACAGCACAAGACGACAAACGTTGCACCTCAAGCCTTCGTCACTATTCTGAAGGGGCCCAGGGACACACAAATGAATACACACAAATCATGGAATTCCCAGTATTTTCATTTTTTGTTTTGATTTTCGCCTTCCCCCCCACTTCCCATAATTTCGCATATGTTCCTGGGAATCGACGATTGATTGTGTATGTTTTGTTTGCTCCCCCTCTTGACAGTCTCCCCTTCCTCGCTCCGAAGTCAGGTGCCCAGTGGTGGCGTCAGGTGGTGGTCAAACACGACCCTGCACCTGTCCACTCGTGTGCCACGTAGTGAGATCCACCACCATGCCTTCAGCACGTAGTGGAGTACCCCGAAGGTTCATGCAACCCTAAGGGGTAGAGTCGGGGATCCTCTGACCCGGGTCAATCCAGACCCGGGTCAGCAGGAAACCAAACACTGCAATGCAGGAGAAAAAAACTGCAACGCAGATCCTCGCAAACCCGGGTCGGCCAATACGCGCGGCCGCCTCGCGGCCACGAGCGGCTCCCTGACCCGGGTCAGCCAGAGGGGGCCTTCGCAGGATCCTGCAGGATCTGGTGCCCTGGCTGACCCCCGTTTGCGTTGACCCCCGTCTCGAGGCTCCCGATAGAGGGCTTTTAAGGCTCTTCCGGGCTCAGACCACCGGCTCCCCAGGCGCGCCCGGGCGCTGCCGCGGTGCGCCGCGTGGGCCTCCTGGGGGCGGTGGCACCGACCAACGGGTCCCAGAAGCGGGCGAGGAGGGCCCCGAGAAGCTCCCAGCAGTGTCCAAGAGGCCTCCGTCGGGTCGGGCGAAAGGGGGGGATAGCAAAGGGGGGGTTTGAGAATCAGCTCACGTAGCTGATTTTTCCAGCGCCTCCCGGCGCCGGGAGCGGCCATGTATCGAGGAATTGGCCCTTCGGTGAGGCCGAAACCAGCTGCATGCAGCAAATTTCGCAACCCCCCCTTTCCCAATCCCCCCCTTTCGCCCGACCCGACTCCGAGACGGTCCAAGAGCAGATGGCTTCAAGACCTCCCAAGAAGCCTTCGAGAGGCCCAAAAGAGAGCCCCAGAGGCCTTCCCAACAGAGCCCCGAGAGGCCAACATCATTGATTGCCCTACGGTTCTCACATGTTTTCCGGGTTCTCCACTTTTCTAGCTCCCGACGCTCAAAGACGTCCCAAGAGGCACCCAAGACGGCCAGAGGCCCCGAAGACGGCCAAAGAGGCCCCCAAGATGGCCCAAGAGGTGCCCAAGACAGCCTTAAGACGGCCCCGAGAGGGGGAACGCGAACCAGAAATCCCAGCCTTCCGCCCCAAGAGATGCGTAGAAAGCCCCAAGAGGCCCCCAAGAGGCTGCCGGACGCCCCCAAGAACTCCCCACCACGCCCCCAGAGACCCCCAAGACGCCCAAAATAGGCCCCAAGGCAGCCCCCCAGAAGCTTCAACGCTTCCTCCATGATGCCCCCGAGAGGCATCGACGAGATCCCAATGACCATCCAAGAGGCGTCAGACCCACAACCTAGGCACGGTGGCTGCCACGCCGAAAACCGCTCGATACTGTCCCAATGATTGAGCTTTTGTCTGATGTCCCGCAACCGCGAATTAGTAGATGCCGCGAGAGGGCTGTAATGTGTTATCTTCGTCCGCAACGGTGCGCCATGGGCCGCAGCTGGCGGTACGATAACTCTCCTCCCCCTAATTGGCTGAAGCTGAGAGATGGGGCCGGGGTTGAGCTGGGCAAAACTGTGTGCCCTTCTGGCGGGTTGGTAAGGAATCGAACCTTCCCGCGGCAGCCTTGTGGCGCAGGGAAGAGGAGGAAGCGGAGGAGGAGGAGCAGGGAAGAATGAATGGGAGGACGGGGGGGAGGGTGAGGAGAGAGGAGAAAGACGGAGGATGAAAATCAGGACAATAGAAGACCCAACATGCATCAACGATGCTGCAATATAATATGGCCACCGTTCCGAACCCCCTCCCCGTCAACCACGTAGAAGGACTCCGCTCGAAATACGGGCGCCCCAAGGTCCTGCAGATTGCGCTAAGCCCCGTTTTAGAAAAGGAGCTACCACTCATCAATCTAACTATAAAGGCAGCGGCGAAGTATGATCATACAGACAAGCGACATGTACAACGGGTACCCCACTTTGAATATCAACCGCCCACAACCAATGCCTCCCAAACTGTTTTGAAACGCATGCTGGTGAACTATCGTGCTGTCACTCTGGATATCCTTGGTTTCAAAAAGAACCGCACTCCATCCATGCATGTAGCTGTTGCGCAAACTTTAACTCCTGCTCGTGCGGAATCAAGAAAGCGCGAACCTACATTGAGTTCGAAAGCATGAGCCGCACCTGAATCAGTGCAACTGTTAGAAGCGTTTCAAACGAATGCGCGTGGCGCAAGAGCGACAACTACAGTATTCGCCTGCCCAACCCCTTTCTCAAAACGAGGGTGACATGCGGACGCAGCCACTGGGGCCTTCGGTGGAACGCCCTATGGGCCACGAAACGCGTGAGGGCTGGGTCGAAATAGTGGGGGTCACTACACGGACCCTGCCATTGGGGCCTTCGGTGGAGCGCCCTAGGGGCTACGAAACGCGTGCGTGGTGTGCCAAAATGGGGTGGGCAACCATGCGGGCCCTGCCACTAGGCCTTCGGTGGGACTCCTGATGTGGCCGCGAAGCGCGTGAGAGGTGTGTCGAAATCGGGCGGACTACCATGCGGACGCAACCACTGGAGCCTTCGGTGGAGCTTCCTATGGGGCTGCGAAACGTGTGAGGGGTGTGCGGATGTGCAGACACTGGGCAGGTCATCATGCGGACGCAGCCACTGAGGCCTTCGGTGCAGCTCCCTATGAGGAAGCGTGTGAGCGTGTGAGCGATGTGCCGCAATGGGGAGGGTGACCATGCGGATGCAGACACTGGGGCCTTCGGTGCAGCTTCCTCGGTGCAACGAGAGGTTTGAAGGGTGTGTCAAAATTGAGCGGGTCACCATGCGAACGCAACTACAGGGGCCTTCGGTGGAGCTCCCTAGCCCCTGGGCCTTTGGTTGAGCTCTCTATGGGGCTACGACGCGTGTCAGGAGTGTACCGGAATCGAGCGGTGGGCAACCATGGGAACGCAATCACTGGGGCCTTCGGTGGAGCTCCCTTTGGGGCCACGAAAGGTTTGACGGGCGTGTCGAAATTGAGCGGGTCACCATGCGGGCGCAACTACACGGGCCTTCGGTGTAGCTCCCTGGCCACTTGGGCCGTTGGCTGAACTCCCTATGGGGCTACGACACGTGTCAGAAGAGTGCCGCAATCGAGCGGTGGGCAACCACGGGGACGCAATCACTAGGGCCTCCGGTGGAGCTCCCTACGCGGCCACGAAAAGCGTGAGGGGTGTGTGCCGAAATGGAGCGGGCCACCATGCGGACGCAGCCACCGGGGCCTTTGGTGGAGCTCCCCATGGGGCTGCGAAACGTGAGGGGTGTGAGGAAATGTGGAGGGTAACAATGTGGATGCAACCACTGGGGCCTTCGGTGGAGCTCTCTATGTGACCACGAAGCGTGTGAGGGGTGTACCGAAACGGTGGTGAAGATGATACTGGTGGTGCGATACTAGAACTGCTAATGTTGGCGGCGATGATGGTGACGACGACGAAGATGACGATGAAAACGATGAAGATGATGCAAATGACAAGGGCAACGAGGAGGGAGGAGGAAGAGGAGGAGGCGGAAGAAGAAGAGAACGATGAGGGCGACATAAAGAGACCCGCGGCGCTGCGGATTCAAATCGTAAACCGAACTCACAAATCAATTGGGGACACAACCAATGTGCACGGTGCTAAAACGACAACCACATGTTGAAACCAACGTGTGCTCCATCCGCAAACCTGTTGGGGGCTTTCCAAACGAACAAGCGCAACTTCTGGGTGAACACCACATCAACCCCCTAACCTTCCGTGGAACTGCTGGACATTTGTCAACGAATCTACACGGCGGTCTGGCGAACGCCACTTTTAGACACCGGCCTGTCGTCCGTCCGTGCAACTCTTGAAACCAATAACCATATTTTGAGAACGGCACCCCCTATCCGGGTACGTAACTGTTGGGCAAGCCAAACTTCGGGGACATGACCAAGGACGAAGTCTCAGACGAAGCAACCGGCACCCAGGACCGACACGTCTGGTGGTAATACGGGGGTTACTTATGAGGAGATGGGATGGAAAAGACCATGTGGAGGGGGAGAGAATGGGATAATGGGTGGGAGGGATGACAAGGAGGAGGGGAAGGAGAGAGGAGGGATGAGGATGAGGATGAGGACAACAATAATAAATAGAAGGACGGGCAGGGAGTGGGTGGGAGGGATGATGAGGGGGAAGAAGTGAGGGGGAGTGCGGCGGAGCAGACAGAGGAATGAGGGTGGGAAGGAGGAGAGGAGCGGAACGGCGGAGGAGCGGACGGAGGAGAAGACGAATATGAGAGGGATGAGGTGGGATGGACGGGCATGCCCGAAACACGTGCATGGCTCGGCTGCTTCTGACGTTGACGAATGAAGGAGATGAGACGAGCACACGGAATCCACATCACTCTGCCTGGACCCAGAAAAACTGAACTTATCAAAACCGCAGGTGTTGCGAGCTGTGCTCCTCGAGCGGCTCGAGCGCGGCACTGGCCACGTCGGCGCCTCAATGCGGTCACGCGACCTCAAACCACGGGACACTTCAAAGGCGAGAGAGACACCCGCACTCAACGTTCACTGGTGCTGAGGAGGAGAGAACGCGCCGTCGTCTTGTTGATGTCGATCTCGAGCTTCACCAAGTCTCCCTCCCTGTAGTCGAGCGCCCGGTAGTCCATGGAAGCGTAGCCCCTGCCCAATGGTCGGCAGTCTGCGCGGCCCAAAGCCTATCGAAGAAACGGGCTTCAAGCACAAACCCGGCTATCCCAGGTGATGACCCGTCTCAAACAAACCAGCATAGATTGGCGACTGACTGACCACCTCTCTGAGCGAGGATCTTTGGCAAACGAGGCTGAAGGAGGAATCGGCCAGGACAAGGGCTGTGCTAGCAGACGCGCAACACCGCTCGACAAACGCCAGTCAGGGGAGCCGGGGGCAGCGGGAGCAAGCACGACGCGGACCCTCCGCAGCGCAACTTCAGCGCGGGCATCTCAAGGCCCCTTCCGGCGGCGTCAGTGGCCCTCGAAAAGAAGCCAGATCTGTGGCGAGGGGCCGGGCCCCCCTGGAAGTGGGGGGGGGGCCAAAGCTCCGAGAGGGCCCCGGGCCGTGAAGACATCTTCGCGTCGGGGGTCCGGGCAAGACTCCCAGGCTGGCGACTGTGTGCTCATTCGGCGTTTCGACCTTGGGCCGAAGGGGTGGGGAGGGGGCGGGGCTGGCTCCGGACCTCTGCTCCAGAGTGACTGCTTGGAGCAGGTGCTCCCACGGGGCATCCCATGTGGGGAGGCGGGGTCCCCGCGCTGACAACCCCACCCACCTGCCTGAAACAGGCACCCAAAACAGCCAAGATCTACTCTGGGGGAGCGTGGGTGCGAGGGCCCGCGTCGATCGGCAGGAGAGTGGAGGAGGAGGAGGAGGGAGGAGGAGGAGGAGGAGGAGGGAAGAGAAGGAGGAGGAGGAGAAAACAACGAACAAGGAAGCCATTTTTCGTGGCGGTTGCAAAACTTGCTGTGGCGGCCCACACACGTTTTTGTGTTTCTATGGCGACCCCAAGCACACACTCATACACACCACATGTATATATATATATACACACCAGATTTGAGGGCTCGCTTCGCTTCGCCTCACGGTCCTGCGCCCGCGCGCAACCGAACACTCGGTGACTGAATGATTGCTGCAAGCACGTGGTTTCGATGAGGGGACGCGGTCATCTTCCCGGGCGGGCCACAGGCATTCCTTTATTTGGGAGAAGCCGATCTGTCGCGACGAGGCCATGGTCACCGATGAGAGGTGAAAGGAAACGGTGACCACGAGGGGGGTCGCGGTCATGGCGGTCAAGGAACAACGCCATGAGCGTCAGCGGGGTGATCGAATGAAAGAATGAGTTCAACTTTGGATGAAGAGGATGATGATGAGGAGGGGGACGAGGAGGAGGACGATGTCGACTTGGTGGGGCGGATGCCACGATCTTCGGAGAGGGGCAGGGGTCGGTACGACGAGGGGTCGACGCCAATGACCGGGAGGGGGGTGAAGGTCATTGCCGGGAGACGGGGCGGCGACGGACGCTTCGAGCAGGGATGGGCACGTATTTTGTCTGCGATCATCATCGGCAGGCGGCAGGATCGGACCGCGACGTGATCTGCGACGGCGACGCCGAAGAAAATCAAAGTAAAACATCTGCTGTCCATCGTCCGGATTTGCGCGCGTGTCCATCTGCATCGCTCCTCGTCCTGCGTGCTAGTGTTTTCCTCCGCCTCCCGCCCCGTGATATCAAGGTGGGGGGGCTATCCTGGGAGCATTTTGGGGCATTGGGGGGATGGCGAAATCTATGATTCGTTTGCTTTCCGGGCGGTCTTGGGGCCCTCTTCGATTTCTAGAGGCCTTGGCCCATCGGCGTCCCTTCGGGGGCCGTTGACAGGCTTCCTATGGGCGGGGTCCCTTCGAGGCCTCTTTGGCCTTTTCAGGGCGTCCCTTCGGGGCCAGTTGCGCTTCCCTGGGGGGACTCGGGGAGGGCCTCGCAGGGCTTCTTGGGAACCTTTGGATGGCCTTCGGGGGCTGCCTGGGGCCTTCGGCCCATCCCCCCACCGTGCCTGGGTTGTGGCTCAGAAGCCTCTTGAGTGCTCGTTGGAGGTCCGTGGGGGGCTTCTTGGAGGCCTCGTGGGGAGCTTCTGGGCAGCAAGTTGGAGGCCTCGTGGGGAGCTTCTCGGAGGCTTCTTCGGCGCCTCTCGGAGCCCTCTTGCGGCCTTTTGGGGGCCGTCTTGGGGCCTTGTGGGGCCTTCTCGGGGTGGAACATGTGACATTTGAAGGTGTGGTCGCCCTTTTGGGCCCTCTTTGGGTTTTCTCGGAGCCTTTTTGGGTTCCGTTGGGCGCCTCTTGGGCTGTCTTCGGGCCCTTCAGAGCTGTCTTGGGACTGTCTTGGGGCCGTCTGGGGGGCCTCCTGGGCCGTCTGGGCTGTCTTGGAAGGGGCCCGTGGGCCAGGGAGGAGCGTCGAAAAAGGTATCGGAAGGCGCGGGAAGGGCCATCCGGGGGCCCGGGGCCCATGGAGGACCGTCAAAAAAAGTATCGGTGTGTGTGTGTGTGTGTGTGTGTGTGTGTGTGTGTGGGCCATCCGTTTTTTTCCTCACAGGATGTGTAATTATAGGAATATGTAGATTGCTCTTGCGGTGACCAAGCTATCAACTTGGTGTAATGGCCGTCTGCGGCGGATTGCACACTAATTTTGTGGTGGTATAAAAAACGATGTTCCGTTTTATGGTTGCCCTGTAAAGATTTCCTTGTCTGGGGATGTTACAAAAGCAAGATCACTTTTGTCTGCAATTGGGAATCCTTGTGTGGCAGCCTCGCAAGCAACTCCCACCAACCCTTTAGGGCGTGAATGGTTGGGGGGTCCTCGTCCAACCCCCGTCTTCTCCTTCACCCCCTCCCCCTTGACCTGGGCGGGAGGTTCTGCCAAGCGTCTGAGCGTCCAAGATGGTCCTGGTCGGCGAGACGGCCATCATCATTGATGGTACTAAGGTTTGGGCAACGTTTTGGCCTCCTGGGGCGGGGCGCTGATTGAGTAACCCCCTGCTCTGATCGAACTCCTCCAAGATGGCCCCAAGATGGCCCCAAATAATGCTCCCAGAGGGCCCCAAGAGTCGCCCAGGAGGCCCCACGAGAGCCCCAAGCGTCCCCCAAGAGACCCCAAGATGCCCCAAGAAGCACCCAAGACACTCCAAGAGGCCCTCGGGACCGCCACGAGGCTCCCCCCTAGACGACCCAAGAGAACTCCAACAAAATTCTCGAGAGACATCCGAAGCGACACCGAGGGGTATGCGAGAGGCCTCTGGCGTTCCAGCTCGCCCTCCTCCTCCTCCTTCTCCTCCTACTCGTCCTCCTCCTCTTTCTCCCCCTGGTCCTCCTCCTCCTCATCCGCATATTATTCCTCCTCCTCCTCCTTCTCCTCCTCCCGTTTCCCCCCGCCCCCTCCGCCTCCCCTCCCTCCCCTCCTCCTTCTCCGATTACTCCTCCATCCTCCCTCTAGTGGGCCCTGACGGCTTCTTCAGCCAGTTGTTCAGCTACATGCTTCTCCACATCCCTGATCAAGGCAACTCGCCTTGGAATCGTTTCTGGATGGGCTGGTTGGGGTTACGCGAAGCGTCTAACATGTCTCCTGTGGTGGTCCACAACACACACCTCATTTGGGGCGGCTGTGCATCTAGATTTTCATTGTGGCAGATTTGATGTTGGTTCGCTTTCTGGCGGCCTCAAATCTGCATTCCCTTTGCTGCGGCATTACGACTCGATGCATCCTATGGCGTATGATGTGCTGATTCCTCATTGGGCCACCTGTAAATCGATTTCATCCAGTGACGACATCACACATCGATCTGTTATAACAGCCGCACACACACATATATTGTTTTTCGCTGTGGCCCATCTAAAGATGTACGATTTTCGAATCATAGTCTGCGAGATTGCTTCATTCTGCAACGGATTGCGCATTGATAGCGTTATGTACCAACCCGTAATACTAAATACACTATGGGCGGCGTTCTGCGCCAATCAGAACATATGTCGTGCTGCTCCTACGGATTTAGCACCGTGCACTGCGCTAACACTACTGCTCTGCTGCGTGCTCCCTCTCCGATCGTTCACCCTCGGCCCCTACATAGTCTCGTTATCACTATCCCATCCTACTCCCTCTGCTCCTTTCACATAATGTTCAAACTTATTTTCTTCAACTACTTCCTCCACACCCTCCTCCTCTTCCTGTACCTCCTTCCCTTCACAGTTCCATCCTATTCCCACCTCCTGATGGACCTTCCGATTCTGCTTTCCATAAGTCCGGCGCCTCTCACAACGCCTCCCCTCCTACTCCTTCCTCCTTCGTATCTTTCGATCCTCCTCAAGGATTACACGTTGATGGCTTGTCTGGCGCATCACATCGTAATGTTCTTTGTGGCGGCCTTGCAAATCGTCTTATCCTGTAGCGGATTCTGAAAGGATCCCTTTTTGTAACCGATGGCAAGAGAGCTTCCTTTGTGGGGATCGTAGGTCTACATTCTAAACTGGTTTATACGTTGGCTTGAGTTGTGGCAAGTTACCAAGTGATTCCTTCTGTGGCGGACAAGTTGATTCGTTCCGCGGCGGATCGCGATTTGATTACCTGTGGCGGGTTGCAAACTGATTCCTTCTGCGGCGGATTATACTTTGATTCGATATATGGCGGATGACAATTTGCCCCACTGTACGACGGACTACACTTTGTTTTCTTGTGGCGCGTAACACATGGCGCCGTGTTGTAGCGGATTACAAGCTCATTCGTTTTGCGTAGTGGTCTACGCACTCATTATTATTGCTGCAGCGGCCTTACACACAAAATCTTCCTGTAATGCGTTACAAATACAATTCTTTTGCAGCGGCCTTATCATACATTCATTGCTTTTTGAAGCGGCCTAACACCAAGATTCTCGTTGGGGCGGCCTCGCACTAATTAGGATTCATTTGGCCGCCTTGCAGAAAGAAACAAACCACTCACATGAACACTTGTACTTTCGAAAAAATCGGTGCCGGAAGCTGACAACAAGTATGGAACGTTTCCAGCCCGCGGGGACACAACACGCGGTGGTACAACTTTTTCAGTCTCGGATACCAGTGTTAACGTTTTTTTGACTCGGCGTCTCGACATTGGGCGGAAGGGGGGGAGGGCGGGTGTGTGTGGCTCCAGACCTCTGTTTAACGCGGCTGTTTGCAACGGTGCGTCCTATAGGGGAGACTCCACCTGCTTGAAGCAGCCGCCAACAACAGCCAAGATTTACTCTACGGGGGGGGGGGAGGGGGGAAGGTGCGAGGGCCCGCGCCGATCGGCAAAACACTGATTCAGAAAGTAAAACACAGCAGCGTGTTCGGAATTCCGAGCTCCAGGACGCTGTGTTCTCCTGTGTTTAGGGTGTCGGACTGTCCATGAAAGTTGTAAACACACATCGCTTTGAATACAGAACACGTTGTGTTTACACTGTCTATTCCGATCTAATTCCCCAAACATGGTAAACCACAACACTCTGAAGTTGGAATGAAGACATGATTTTACTATACTTTGATTTGCTGACGCCTGCAAAACAGCAACATTGGACAACCCCGCGTTTTGGAACTGCAAGTGCTGCCAGCACAATGTTTCCACATTTTTCTCAGCCCACGAAACCAAACTTGGTGACAGACACACACATACACAACCCATCCAACAACTCTTTTCGATTTGTTGTCTGTCTCCTCCTGGTGTCCACCCATAAACCTCACATAATAACAACTTACGTAAAGCCACAACAAATGACATCCTTTTGCAAGGCCGTCACGCACGGACATCTTCCGCAACGCCGCCCCAAACGTCATCCTTTTTTTCTTGTACGGCCGCCACAGCACAATTTGAAGAGCAAGGCCGCCTAGAGGGAGAGAGACGATGACGACGACGACGAGCGAAAACGAGTGGTGCCCGCCCCCACTCCAAATCACTCCTGTACTCCCTACTCGCCGCTGACAAGCGCCGAGGGCGGGCGCGGGCAACTGGCAACCGACGAGGACGAGGACGAGGACTGTCGTCGGTCGTCCGTCTTCGTCGCCGTCGTTCGTCGTCGCCGTAGTGATTTGCTGGCGTCGGCGACCGCCGTCGTTCGCTGGCGGCCAGGATGGGGGAGGGGCCTCCAAGCGGACATAGAAAACGCTCTTTCCCACGGAGAGATCGTATTTTTAAAAGCGAGGGTGCTCAAGGAACCCGAACCACAACGTGAGACTCCAAATCCCCCAGCAATCCCTCAGAAGCAATGTCACATGCTGAGCCCTTGGCCAAACTAACATGCGTATGAAATAGATGTCAAGCAAATAGGATCGTGAGTATAACCGCCAAACAAGCGAGACTGCGAATGCTTACCGCACAGAAGAGCATTGCTATCCATCGCCGCCCCCTTCTGGATGAGGACGAGGAGCAGGAGGAACACAGGGAGGCACAGCGTGCAACGCTGACTGCCCATCCCACGAAGTTCTCATCTTCATCTCTGTGAAGAAATCGCGAATCATCTCCGCCATCGGCATCTCAAACTGCATGAGGACTCGGCCCTGTTGCAACACTGCCCTCTGTGCTCACTGTCTCCTGCACGCCCCTGCCTGCTGGACTATTTGATTCCAGCTCGCCCCGCGGCCTCCGACCCCTGCTCTGTGCTGCTGTGCTTTACGGCTCGGATTTTTTTTGCTTTCGTCGTCGTCGTCCGTCGTCGCCCGCCTCCCTGGGCACCCCGGCCCCTCCTGACCACCTGGCCCCCGCTTCCCCTGGCACGGAGCCCGGGGCACCTCCGGTGCCCGAGGCTCCGTGCCAGAAGCCGGGGAGACCCGAGGTGACCCAGGGTTTCGCCAGCCCCTCGGGCAGAGCCTTTTACCTTCGCCGCCGCGCCCCCCCAAACCCACCCCCAGAACTCTTCATCAACATCTACGCAAACGATCATCGTTGTCCTCCCCTGGCCTCACCCGGAACGGAGCCCTGGTTACCTCATGCCCCCCTGGCCCACAGCCCTTTCTTTTCGTTGACGTAGTTGTTCGTCGTCGTACTTCCCATGCTTCCCTCTGCCCCCCCCTCTTTACCCCGCTCTTGCCCCTCGCCGCTCCCTCGCACAAGAGCTGGGGCTCGCGCGCCGCGTGTTATCCTCCCCGTCAAGGCTTCCATACACCATCTGGCTCTCCTTCGTTTCGGCCTGTTTTCTCCCTCTCTCTCCTTTCTCCCTCTGTCTGTCTGTCTGTCTGTCCGTCTGTCGGTATGTATGTATATTTGTTTTCCTTTTTCTCTCCCTCTTTCTCTTTCTCTTTCTTTCTTTGTTTTGTTGTTCTCTCTCTCTCGTGTATCCCATCGAAAATTCACGAGACAACAACTGTCCACGACGGGGGAATCTGGTCCGGCCAGTCCCGGGCCTGGCCAGGATTGGTGACGGTGGGTGGCTGGTAACGCGATGTCAAACACCATTGCTTTCGAAGTGCAGTTCAGCACCGACGTATCGTGCCAAGCGCACTTGGCTCATGACCAATGACAACACATGAAGAACGATCTGGTTGCCAGCGTGGGCCCTCATTGCACCGAAATCCGTAACATTTGTGGTGCATGCGAATTACGTGTTGCAGTCTATGAGCGACGAGCGGTCCAGTGCAACTTACGTGGCGCAAGCTACGATGTGGAATTCTATGTGGTGCAGGCCACATTGACCGTCTTGAAGCTGTCCTCTCCGCTGCTCGTGCAAACATCCCACCCTCCACCCGCAACTTGGTCGCAAGACCTCTTAAAACAATACCGTGACGGTAGGTACCACATGGCACTTGGCCACGACACCGACGCCGAAGACGACAGCGACAACGACGACGACGGCGCCGCCGACACCGACTACGACGACACCGACGACGTCGTCTCCAACGACTTCGACGACGACAACGACGACGACGACACCGATGACGACGACGACGCCGACGACGACGATGATGACGACGGCGACGACGCCGACGACGACGACGCCGACGACGACGACGAAGACAACGACGACGACGACGACAACGTCGTCGCCAACGAAGACGACGACGAGGGAGGAGGGACGACGACGACGGCGACAACGACGACAACGACGAGGGAGGAGGGAGGACGGCGACGACGCGAACGACGAAGAAGGAGGAAGGACGGCGACCACGACGACGACAACGACGAGAGAGGAGGGATGACGACGATGACGACAAGGACGACGACGAGGACGACGGCGACGAAATAGGAGGGACGACGACGAGACGCCGACGGCGGACGACGACGACGAAGGAGGAGGAGGAAGGACGACCACAGCGACAACGACGACGGAAACGACCACGACGCCAAAGAGGACGACGACGACGAACACGAGGAACGACAGAAGACGACGTAGGCGACGACGACGACGACGCGGGAGGAGGGAGAACGGCGACGACGACGACGACGACGCAAGAGCGCGCGCGCACGCTTTCGTTGAACATCGGTGTTGCGAAACCTTGTGTTTTTGTATTTTTTGTTGGAAATCGATTTTGACATCCTTCCGAAACTGATGGGTTTTGAAGGATTTCGGGATACGCGCGCGACGACGCGCGCGTCAGCACTTCGTCCCATTTTCTGCAGCGCAAGGGCGTTCAACGGATTTCGACATGCGCGCGCGAAGCCCGTTTGGTAGCATGTTGTGAAGATCTTGGAAAACCAACGGTTTTCGTGAGATTTCGCAAGAGCCCGCGCGTAAGATTTTTTAGCAAAGCAATGTTGCGAAACCCTGTGGTTTTGTATTTTTTGGGGAAATCGATTGCGAAATCCTTCCGACACCGAAGGTTTTTGAAGGATTTCGGCATGCGCGCGCGACGACGCGCGCGTGTGCACTTCGTCATATTGTTTTGCACGGCATTCGTGAAACATTGTGTTATATTAATACAACACATGTCACCGCAAAGTGTTTTTTGTTACAAGGGAACCTCCGGGGGGGGGGGCGGTTGGCCTGGGGCATTGCGATTCCATATTTAGGATGGACATGTGGTCATGATGATATGTGATTTACATAGGACGCGGGTGGAGTGATAACGCCGATGGGGGGGGGGGGGATAGAATCGATTCTGTTTTCAGAAACGGGAATCAATGCGGCGCGAGCTGTGGCGCACGTGCTGCGGCGCGCGCTGTGAAAACTACGCGGTGCACTCGACGCCGAACCGTGCGTGTGCGACACGTGAAACAACAGCGGACTTAGCTAGCGCGCGGGATATCTCCGAGGCGCCCTCGCAGAGCCTCGACGGACTCAGCCAACGGAAAAGCGCCCCAGAACCGCGCGCCAAGCGAAACCTGGTCGGGCCCAGCCGCAGCGCGGGGTGTGCGAGGGATGGGCGAGCAAAGCGTCCAGTCAACGTGCACCCACCCCGTGAAATGGCGCCTGCACGGCGCACGTGGCCGCGGGACGCTCCACAGAGACGCGTGCGCTTTGAGGGTCACACACAGAGGGGTGGCAGAGAGGGCCAATTAAGATGACAGCTGCGGGCGCCCCCACCGGCCTGGCCTGAGACATTCCCCCCCCTTGCGACGCATGGGTGGCGGAAGCAAGCGGAAGATGGAAAAGACCTGGCCGGGCAGACCTCGCAGCGACAGCGTTCCAAGAGAGGCGGCGGAAGAGAGGCGTCAAGATGTGAACTTGTGAGGGATAATATTGAAAATCTGAAATGTATACACGACGTCAAAATAGCATGGATATAAATTGGATTGCCCACTGCAAACTGCGCTGCATCGCAAGATGCAGCGATTGGCGGGGGCGACCGAGGAAGACAGCAGGATTGCGAGAGCGCGCGCGCACGAACGCGTCGACGCGCGCCTCTCGACGCACGCCCGTGGGGGGGCAGGAGAAAGGAAGATAACGGAGGAGGCGGGGAGGGGGAAGGCGGGGGGGCGGGGCGCTGCCCGTTCGACCCGAAGGGCGCGAGCTCGGGCCGATGAGCGCAACGACGTGAAACGATGTGAGCTCAACCGCTGGGTTTCTCGATGCTCATTTGCCCCGAGGAGCGGGGGCGCTGGCGGCGCCGCCGGCCCCTCCCGACGCGAGACCGCGCGAGAGACGGAAAAAAGAGGAAGAAAAGATATGAGGAATTATCGCCCCCGCCCACACGGGCTGCCCCTAGCGATGAGGGGCGCGCCAGCCTCGCTTAAAATGGGCCGCTCTTATCGACGAGGGCCGGGCTCCGGCCACCTCGACCGCGCCTTTTAATACTCCGCGGTCAGAGGCGCCCGTTTGCGGGGCTGCGACCCCCGCGCAGAGGCCCCAAACTTGCGACGAGAAGAACGGGGTGGAAAGGATGGGAACGGACCCGACTCCAGAGAGACGCGGGGAGGTGAATTCCCGCGGCCCCCAGAAGCAGCGGGGCCGGATCCGCGCCCATGCGTCGCGAGAGGAGAAGAAAGGGCATCTGCGCGGAGCTGCAGCGGGGCCCACCGCGAGGACTCGACCTGCTGTGAGTTTCGCGAGGAGGAGCAACCTGCCTGGACGTGGCCGTGACGCCCATCCATCACAAAACGCGCCAGAAGGTCATGAGTCAGCTGCGGGTGCCCATGGGCCTCCGCCATCGACCTTCGGAATCGTCAGCGCGCGCGGGCTAGACGCTCCTGCTTGCCCGGCGAGATGTGCGCCGTGCGATTTGCGCGCGGCCCGAACGGGCAAAGACTTCCTCAGTTTTTTTTTTTTTTTTTTTTTTTTTTTTTTTTTTTTTTTTTTTTCAGTATCTGTGATTCTCGAGTCTCCCTTCGAGCCTGGGAGAGGCGGCGCGTGCGTCCTGCGCGCGGTCCGCCGCCTGCGAAGGCGAAATCGTAAACCGATGTCGGGTAGCCACCTGGCCAGTCTGGGCCCGTGCGTCGCGCAACTCTGCCAGGGCGTTGGAGTTCCGCAGCGCGATCGCAAAAATTCGTCCGGCAAGCATTGCGCGCGCGCTCAAATGCATCAAAACGTGAAGCGATGACCGCGCGATAAGACGTAGCTCCCAGCGATCGCTCCACAAGGAATGTGTGCATGGTGACAACATGCACAAACAGAAAACTGAGGAGGAGGAAGACAGGACACATGGATGGTGGGAGAGAAACAGTGGACGGATGGAGGTAGCAAAGGACAACAGAGAGCGAAAAGAGGAGGGCGTCGACGTGCGCCTGCGGGGAGGCGGCAAGCGAAACCTCCCCCCCGACGAAGGACGACGTGAGAGAATGTGAAAAAGAAGCTTGACAACGGGGGACATATCGAGAGACAGTTCAGGCTCGAATTGAATTTATAGCAAGGTCGAAAATGTGATAACAACTGATCAACTAGACAGCGTACAACATATCGCGTGAGCCACTCTGGGCCTCCAAAAATAGGATTCATCATTAACGATTGTGTCAAATTTGTGATGCCGGCATCACAGTAGGAGTCATAGGGATGGTGCTTCCCATAGGTCGTACTCTGACGCATTTTTCCCATGTAACATGTACGGTGCCAAATTCGATGCGATGGTGGGGGGGACCGGAAACCGATAAAAAATACCGTCCCATCATCTGTGGTTATTGTGCCGTCCCTCGCGTGGCGCAGCACAAACACAACTCATAATTGACAAACATGTAACGATGGTCGCATGGCCCGGAAGGCAAAACAAAAACGGCTGATAACCGATGAGGGATGAGTGAGCAAGACAGCCAGTCAACATATACCCAACCCCTGTGTGGAATGACGCCTGCACTAGGCACTTAGCCGCAGGAGACTCCACACAGACGCGTGCGCCTTGAGGGTCACGCGCAAAAGGGTGAGAGATGAGGACAATTCAGAAAACAACTGCGGGTGTCCCCGCCGGCCTGGCCTGAGACATCTTCCACACGGGGCGTCCACGGGCGCTCACGAGGCGCCCACCAAGTGGCACCTCGGCGGGCCCAACCGGCACACGGGGCGTCCGCGAAGCGCCCACAAGGCGCCCACCAGGCGATGTCTCGGCGCACCCCGCCAGCGCACGGGGCGCCCATCTGGCGATGTCTGGGCGTATCCCGCCAGCACGCGGGGGGCCCACGAGGCGCCCATCCAGCGAAACCTCGGCGCATCCAGCCAGCACGCGGGGGGCCCACGAGGCGCCCACGACCGCCCACCAGGCGATACATCGGCGGACCCAACCAGCCCACGGGACACCTACGAGGCGCCCACCGAACGAAGCTTCGGCGAACCCATCCAAATCCACCAGCCCCGTGGGCGCAAAAGGGGCAAGGAGTTCTGTCTCCCGTCTGCCAAACCATGTTCTCCCCTGCGTGAAGGGGTTTACCACTACACCTTGTGAAACGACACCCTCTCCCGAACTTTACTAACCCCTCACCACGGCCAATGCCGATTCACCCCCATTCCCCCGCCAAAACACAATATGCAATTCACTTTGCGACCGTTATCTTCGTGCTCGGGTGCCCGGCCATCACATGAAACTGAATCTAGCTGTTTCCTGACAGTGACGGCGGGTGTGCCATCATTTTGCCTGCTGTGTGAAGGCCCACCATCCCTGTCGCACACAAATGCAGGGTGCACGTTGCGATAAACTCGTAGACCACGCGAGGGCGCCCCGCGGTCATGTTGCATTGTAATCTGGCACGCGCGGCGCACCTCGTGGGCGTCGTGCAGAAAACTGGCGTCTGCTTTGGTTTCCGATTGTTGTCGATGGCGGCCGGGGGGGGGGGGGGACGCGGAGGGCTCGAGCGTCCAAAGTGGCCGACGATCGCTTCAGGATGACCCCAGACACCTCACATGGTCTCGAAGACGGCACAATATAGCCGATCATGGCTCAACGGCTCCTACTCTCGAGTCCTCTCAAGGACCCCCCAAGCGGCCAACCTCGTGACAACACCTGAGGAGATCAATGAACGCGTGCCTTCTCGCATATTCGCCCCAGATGAACCTCTGGGATCTTGAGATGGCCCGAGTATGACCCAAGGGCCCGAAATCCGCCGGCCCCCTTGTGGGGCCACCAGGCTGCGAGGCGCGTGATTCGCAGTTTCCTGTACCAGTTGTAGTTTGTAGTTTCCAGTGTTACAGTTCTGCTTCTTGCTGGTTACTGTAACTAGTTGACCTCTTGCTGGTTACTGTAACTAGTTGATTGACCGCGCGAGGGGGGGGGAGGCCCAAACGGGATTTTTAGCGTCCCCTGGGCTCGTTGTCTGAATTGCTGGGGGGGCTCGAGATCGACACCCCTCACGCAGATCCGCGGGGTCAGGGTCCAAAACACACAGGGGATTTGCCACATTTCTGAAATTCGGTGCCACCCCTCACGCAGATCCGCGGGGTCAGGGTCCAAAAACACATGGGATTTGCCACATTTCTGAAATTCGGTGCCACCCCTCACGCAGATCCGCGGGGTCAGGGTCCAAAAACACAGGGATTTGCTACATTTCTGAAATTCGGTGCCACCCCTCACGCAGATCCGCGGGGTCAGGGTCCAAAAACACATGGGATTTGCCACATTTCTGAAATTCGGTGCCACCCCTCACGCAGATCCGCGGGGTCAGGGTCCAAAAACACATGGGATTTGCCACATTTCTGAAATTCGGTGCCACCCCTCACGCAGATCCGCGGGGTCAGGGTCCAAAAACACATGGGATTTGCCACATTTCTGAAATTCGGTGCCACCCCTCACGCAGATCCGCGGGGTCAGGGTCCAAAAACACATGGGATTTGCCACATTTCTGAAATTCGGTGCCACCCCTCACGCAGATCCGCGGGGTCAGGGTCCAAAAACACATGGGATTTGCCACATTTCTGAAATTCGGTGCCACCCCTCACGCAGATCCGCGGGGTCAGGGTCCAAAAACACAGGGGATTTGCCACATTTCTGAAATTCGAATCCATCACGCACATCCGTCGCAAGGCGTGGTAACCCAAACTGCGAGAATTACCAAGCCCTTAAACCATCTTACCAATCGCCAGGTGTGGTAACCCCTCTTGTGATCAGTTGGTTTTGCTGATTGCGACTCGGCTTCGCATGAAGTTTCGATACTGCTTCACGACAGCGCCAAGGCCTCATGACTTAGCTCTTCCATGGCCCATTCTCCGAGAGAGGGGGCCGGCGGCAGGGGGCGAAGCCCTTACGGATAATGTTTTGGCCTCAGGGGTGTGGGGAACAACTGGATTAGTGCCTACCTTCCCTTCGTGAATTATGGGGTCCAAAATCGTACCCATGGGCACCGATAATTCCCCCATGTCCCCCCTAAAGAAATCCAGAAGGCCCCGAGAGAGCTCCAAGAGGACCTCACGACTGTCTCAAAGGCATCCCGAATTGCCACAGGATGACCCGAGTAAACTGCCAAAACGCTCTCGCATCAAACGATCCGAGATACCATTTACGGTGGACCCTCTGTCTGCTCAGGCTGATCGCTGATCCCGAGCTTCGGTCTGACGGCTGCCATCTTTTTGCTTCACTCCTCGCTCCTGCACCTCCCCAATCAACACACGTTGCCGGGAACCAAGACATCCGCGCGGAGCGCCAACAACTTACGTGTATGTCAATGTTGCTGCTGGTGCAGCCATTCTGCGCAATCTGACCGCGCCAATCCTGTCAACTTCCGTCCGTCCGTGAAACGACGCCCACGCCACGCTGAGGACTGCCGGATGCAACTGCCCGGGCGCCATGCCGATGTGGACAACACGCAATGGGACACGAAACAAAAGGAAGGCGCAGCTCCTCTGTCAAGAAATTCGTATTTCTCCAGACAGAACGTCTCTGGAGGGCAATGTCCATCGCAACACCTGTGGAGACAACGTGTTGATGAGACGATGCAGCCATGCATGCTACCTTCAAATGTTATATATATATATATATGTGTATATATATTCACATATATATATATACATATATTTATGTATTCGCTCCCGCAGCATGATGCCATCTGTGCAAACGTCCAGAGCTGGCCGATCCCAAATCCACTGGACGCATATTCCGACCACAGGCGAAGATGTTGGAGTAGGAGCGCACGCGTTTCAACGGACAGCGCTGTGCTCTTGCTGGATAAAATCTGTGGCAATCTCAGTGCGTACATGGACGGCAAATACGAGTGTCGCATACGTCGCCTTGCAGTCCACCCCCGTCCGATCCTGCCCCCTTCCCTCCCTCGACCAACCCTCTGGACGTATCATGATGCATTGCGAGCATCCTGCTACTGGTAGCATGCGCACTAGCGGATCGTATAAATGATCGTCAGCCTTACAGGTCTTGGTGAAACCAGTGCAAGGCTGGACAACTCAATCACGCATGAGGCCCCAAGAGGCCTCCGAGAGCACTCCCACGAGGGCCCCAAGAATTCATACTCATAAATGTTCCTTCTACGTGCCTCCACGAGGCCTCAGATCAGCTCCGAGGTGGCTCCAAGTGACAATGGAGCTTCCCAGGAAGTCCCCCAAGAGGCCCCCAAACAGAGCCCAATAGGCTTATGAGAGTGCCCCAAGAAGGGCTCCAGAGCGTCAGCGTCGTCGTCGCCGCCGCCGTCGTCCCCCTTTAGACAGTGGCACGGCTTGCACGGCCTTCACAACAATCCACTATCAAGTAAATGGACTACTACCCCGTTGCTAATGTGTGCGACCACTCTGCCACGGTGCGCATGTGAATCAAGGTGCGCAAGGTGAGCGCATTTTCATACAATATTGCGACGAAACAGAGCGCCCCTGAGCGCAGAAACCGTTCGCCGTCGCGATAAAACGGCGCGGAGTAAGTTTCAGAGGACTTGGAATAAATCATTTCTGCAGCAAGTGCAGGCGGGGTGAATTCACACCCGACTGCGGAATCAATTTTCGGAATGAGAAACAAACGTGCAAGGTACGCGTTCACACCGTAATGATCATATCATAATGAAATACCGCTGGGTGTGGGCCGAAATTTACACTATGCCGCCGCTAGACCCCATGATTTAGGATTCAATGGGAGAGCGGGTCCAACATCTACCGGGATGATCAAAACTTTAGGAACGCCATTGTGGTTGAACTCTTCGCTGGCAGAGGGAACCTGTGGGCTTGGAGTTTTCACCCGCAGTAGGATAACTTCTATTCAGCCCAAGCCACCCCCTTTCACAGAAAGAATGCAGTACAAAACAACGCACGACACTTCACATAAAGCGTTGGGATCGCCTGCGGAACATGGGATCTGTGGAACATGTGGGCTTGAAATTCTACCCACAATATGGAGTAAGAAACTGGCGCCCAGCCACCTTCCGACCTACCGGAACCGACCTTTTCGCACAACCAAATAGCAAACTGGCCAAATCTACCTAAACGAAACAAGAAGATATGAATCCATTCGCCGCGGCTGAATCTTTGGACGAATGAGATCGTCATCGCGGAAGCCATCCATGGCTGTGCGTCTGAAATGTTCATTTTGACCCAGGCGAGGCGAAAAATCTGGGTGCTCAGGGGGGAATTGGAGACCCCTTCCATTGTTGCCGGTTGTCTTCAACATGGCACCGAGAGGGCTCGAATGATAATCAGAAGTGCCCAAAGAGAGCCCAGATGCACCAGGAAAGGGCCCCGAGAGAACTCAACATGAGAGACTCCCAGAGGGATTCGAGTGCCTGAAATTTGTCCCTGGACGGGCTGGTGGGGAAACGATGAGCGTCAACAATTGACTTAAGAAGGCCGCCGAACGGGCGGTGCTCAAAAAAGCAACGGGGTAACCCAACATTCCCTACGCGCATTTCGTCTCTAGCTGTGACTGCGTCGAACCGTGCCATTTCTATCGGCCCACGTCTTCAACTTGGCGGTAGAAAGACAAGGCCGAATAACTCAACCACGTGGAGAATTAGACACCAAAAGCCCGGCAAACAAAAACGATCGAAAACGAGCAACACGTCGCACGTAGAAATTACGGACACACATGCTCGCTCACGACACGTGTCTCGTACACAGACGGACCATGCTTTTCGCACAGGCCGCGCCGACAAAATATGCCCCGGTAAGCGAAGGCTAATCATCTGGCGATGGTACCATGGCCTTCCCCGACGTGTCAACACACAACACATTCTTGTCCACATGCAACTGACACCCCAGAGGTGCTTCAGAAATTACGTTTCGAAACCCCGGGTTGGTTCCAGAATTCCCAGGGTTGGAAATGTGATCGGGGCGACTGCTGGGACACATGCTTCCTTTACCGGCACGAGCTGTTCTTTCAATGTCGATGCTCGCTCTGGGCCCCCCATCGGGTGGGACAAGGACCGCCACTTGTTTGTTCCCCCCCGCATCCACCATACATTCCGTTGGGTGCGCCCTGTACATGCCCGGGCACTGGGACCTCCCGTGGGCTCCTTGCGTTTTGTGTCGCGTTGCCGTTGCTGTCAAAAATGCTTCGCACCCAGGTGCACGCAGAGTACAAACAGGACACGTGCTAACAAAGGTTGGTGAACAATTGTGCGGTTCGCGTAGGACTTCCTCGCATACCTGAAATGCACACAAACTGCAGAAACAAACAAACTCACATTAATTGACACCAAAACGGACATTCCGCAGGAGACTTGCGCAAACAGTATGCAAACAAGGTGGGCGCGAACAAAGATGGCACGCAACCAGACAACAAACAGGCGCTCTCGCAAGTCCATATGTGTATCGCGTGGGTTCCATGCATGCTAGGGTGCACATCGGGTGCGCATCCAAGTACACTGTGGTTGCGGGTTTCGTAACAAGTAGCGGCGATATCCAAACCATGCCACGTCTTAAATACGTTCCAGCTTCAACGCTTGTCTCTTGCACCCTTCTTGCCCAGCGGCGGGGCGACGCCCAGAATTCCTAACTATTACCTTGACATAGAACTTCGGAACACCACTGCTCTTTGGAACGGCTCGGGCGCCTACGGATGTCTCGGGCACGATCATGTCCAGCAACACGTACGGCTCCTTTATTGCCTGCGGCAACAGATCTTGTAGCCCCGCCTTCCTCACATCGCCCATGAGCCTTGCCTCACCGCTACGGCAAGATATCCTGTGCAAGGCGGGCCAGAAGCGTCGCGACGAGCCCGCGGCGACTCCGGGAGAATTGCCGCGGCCGACGCAACCTTGCCCACGTGCGCCTTAGGTCCACAACTTCGCTTCGCGACATCAATCGAGGCGGGGTCAAACTCCAAAATCGGCCCTCGGTGCATTACCGTTTCGCACCTTCATTGTCTGTTGTTTGAGCTGGCGGAATTGCATGCTCCTCGAGACGCTGTGCACTTCCCGTTCCTCCTCCTGCTTCACCTGCTGTTGCCGTTTCTGGTCCTGATCACGGTCTGGCGCCCAAGCATATGCTACTCAAACTACGGCTCCCCCACTCAAGCTACGGCTCCCCCTCCTCCTCCTCATCCCCGCCTCGTCCGCCCTTCCTTTTCCTCATCCTCCCCCACCTCCTCGGAAGGTCCAGGCTTCCACGTCTGCACAGAATCCGCAGAGCCCAAGCGACGCAGAGCCGGTGCCTAAGAAGAGAAGGTCAGGGGAGACGTACGCTTCACGCGCGCGCCTTGCTCACCGACGTGCTGCACACGACAACACGTACACCCTGCGAAATGCTTAAGAAATCATGGGTTAAGAAATTCATAGTCTCAGAACTTGCGTAAAAAACCCAACATTTCTATTGAAATCTTAGGATTTGCATTGAAACGTTAAGAATAATCGAGACTCTGGCCGAAAACTTAGGTTTTCTTAAGCATCGCCCAAAGTGTATGGTGATCGGGTCGATTCTCCTGCGAGGCAGGCCCAACGTCCTCGCGGCATCCTGCTTGCGGGGCCCCCAGGGGCAGGGGCCCTGCAGCCATTGCAGGCGATGGCTCGCGCAGCAACAGCCGCGCGTGGAGCGCTATAAGCGATCGGCAGCGCCGACTCTGGCTGCCCCCCCAACCTCCCGTGGTGTCGGATGGGCCTGGCGACAAGCCCTGGGCAGGCCCTGACACCTATAGCGTGAGAGATGAGTTCAGCTCGGACCCCGATGCAGAACAGCGCGCGCACAACCATGCTTTTGTATCACAGCGCCCCAGGAGGTGCCCGTTGGACCCCCCCCCCGACACATGGCGAGCTGGTCTCCCAGAAGGCGCGGCCGCGTAGCCACTGCTCACAGGACATCTCTGAACCAGGCACGGCCAGTGAGCCGAGACAAGATCAGGATCTGCTTAGGTTGCTTTGAACAGCGAGAAACGTATGTACTAGCGGTAGGGGTTTCTCACCAACATCTTGTTTGGCCACTCTTGTCGGCAACACGGTTTCCCTTCCAGCCCCAAGAAACAAGAGGTACCCCCCGGGTCGCGGGCCACAAACCAAGACTCCTGGGCACGCGCATATGTAAGCAGCTCCGTGCTCCTCCCATTTGTTTCTCGTCCCTCTCCTGCTGCTGCTCTACCATTGCTCACTGCGAATGCAAAACTCTCCTGGTTCCCTTTCAGATGGCCAAAGGCTCGCCCGTCCACCTTCCGCGTATACAGTCAACCAATATCGTAAGGATGCGCGAAACGGATGCAAGGGCCTTGGACGCCCATTTCGAAGCTTTTCGAGCGGGGCGCGGCCAGCGAAAGCGGCGAAGGATGGACCGAGGAGGCAAGGATGCAAGGGTACCCTTGGGAAAGTTGCCCATCTTTACCATGCGGGTTAAGTGTAGTTTGTGATACGCAGAATTCCAACATGTGACACCTCCGACGGAGCGCGTCGGTGTCTCAGGACGGTGCCTGCTGGTGCTGCGCGGGCCTCACTTTGGGATCGGCGCTGTGCTCCCGCCTCCCAGAACGGCGCTCGGGCCCCAACGCTTAGGTCGGGCCTGTCCCCCCACAGGGGGATTTGGGGCGACCAATTAAACATGCTCCCAATAAACTCCGAACCTGCTCAAAAATAGTCAAGAAGTCGTTCCCAGCATATTTTTGTGTGGCTGCTTTTGAATATTCCTCCTCTAAAGGGATAGGCCCGACTTAACCCAACGCGGGCAAAACTTTCTGTGGGTCTGGACGTTTCCTGGTCGCTGTCGCCCCCCCTCTCTCTTCCACCCTCGCCCTTCCCCTGGTGTTGTCCTGCTCCTCCCGCTTCTCTCCCGCTCCAGCTCCTGCTGCTGGTGTTCCTCCTCCTCGTCCTCCTCCTTCCTCCTCCTACTCTTCCTGAGCATCTTCTCAGCGTGGAGGGTTAACGGTAAAATCCATACGGGCTCTTGAACCTCGGAAATGTGGTTCACTTCTTGCAGATTCAAGCCTCGGAAATCCATCGGAACGGCATTTCAGATTTCACCCTTTGCCCTCCACCCCAAGAAAATGCTCGGTCTTCGTGCTTCTGTTCATGCTCTGGCTCATCCGGCACATCCTCTTTCAGTGTGCGCAGATCCCCTGTCGGACTGGGCGTGAGACGACGGGGTCCTCTTTGGAATTCCAGGTGTGCGTTGGAGCGCGTCGGCGCATAGATGAGACACTCGCGCAATGAGAAGGGATGGGTGGGAAGGATCGGATGCCAAATACGGCGGGAAAGCCACCTCGTTTCTTCCCCTCTTTTTCATTATCCTCATCCACGTCCTTTTGTTCCTTCGCGCTTTCCGGAAAGAGGGGTGGAGAGGTGGAAAGTATAGAACCTCTCGGCGAGCCCTTTCACGGCCCGCATGTATTCTCGAAAGCCAATCATAGACAGCATGAAGTAAAAGGGAGAAGCCAAGACAAGGCATGGGGAAGAGGAAGATAAAGAAAGAGAGAGAGAGGGAGAGAGAGGAAGAGAAAGGACGAAAACATATAGAAACAACGATAGAGAGAGAGAGGGAGAAACATAAGAGAGAGAGAGAGAGCGAGAGAAAGAGAAAGGAGGGAGACGAGGATCGCGGAGACAACTACACTGACGCAAACCTGTTTTTGCTTCATAGGTTAACGATTTGAAGGCTCGCTTCGCTTCGCCTCAATCTCTGTTCTGCGACCATGCGCTCCCCGGCGCTACAAATCAGATCATGCGAGGTGGGAGGAAGCGGTGGCCGCGAGGGGAGGCGCGGTCAGGACGTTCAAGGGGCAGTGCCAAAAGCGTCAACGGAGTAAAAACAGAAAAAAGATCCGCAGCTGGGACGGCAATGACGAAGAAGAGAAGAAGGCCGATAACGACGAGGAGGACGGACACGACGAGACAGACGGTCCCACAGTCGCCAGAAGGGATAAAAGGGCATGACGGAATGCGCTACCGGCAACGAGAGAACTGATGTGACGACCGCGAGGTGGGTGAAAGTCACGAGGTCGAACATCTATGCACCGTATTCATTTCTATAGTGCTCATTTCTACAGTGCTAACTTTAGTTCTGAGGTCCGCAAGGGCCGCACATGCATGCAAATGCCGCGCAATTGCATCAACATGCCCATGCAACTCTGCATACATATCAACGGCATGGCCGCACATGCGTACATGTCACGCAGTCAGATGCACAGTCTGGACAAACTCTGACAATATAAACGCACATGTCCGCACATGCCGCAAAGTCAAAGGCTCGGATAGAGGGTCGAGAAACGAATGGGCAGGAGAAAGGACAAATGAGAGCGGAATGATGGAACGAGTAAGTAAAACGAAGTAAGCGGATGTGGCTGGCGTTCGAGCGGCAACACCATATCCGACTAAGAGACGTGGCAGGCGACACCACCAATCGAACAAAAACGACGTGGCCAGCGCTCGGATGATCATCACGCGAGGATGTCTCAGGCGAGAGTTGCCTGACCACCTGAGCTCATGGCAACTCGAAACCCAGGAGTTGCGAGGATGTCTCAGGCGAAGGTGGCCTGACCAACTCAACTCAGGGCATCTCGGAACTGGGCATATCTCCATGAAGCCTCCACGATGGCCTTAAGATGGCCCACGCGGCCCAAAATAGGGTCCCGAGGTGGCCTCAGAGGACCCCACGATTGCCGAAGAGGCGCCCAAGACTGCCCAAGAGGGCCTTTTACGGGACCCAAGGCGGCCTTGGAAAGCAATTCGACTGCCCAAACACCCACCATACGGCCAAGATGGCCCCAACGCGGCCCAATAAAGCCCGAGGGCCCCAAGATGGTCCAAGAGGGCCCATAGGAACCTCCAACACTGCCTCAACATCCAAGACAGCCCCAAGACGGCCCAAACGAGCTAGATAGCAGCTCCTCAAGTAGTGTAGACGGCCTTTCTCATCTCTCGTCCCATTGCTGTTCCTCCTCGTCCTGTTCCTCTTCCATCTCCTCTTCCTGTTGCTCCTCCTCCTCCTCCTCCTTGCCATCATCAACAACACCATCTGCACCATGAGTGTACTCATGGCTGCGAATATCCTACTCATCATCACCATCATCCTACTCAACATCACCGTCATCATCACCATCACCACCACCACTATTACCATCACCATCACCATCACAATCATCACCATCGTCATCATCATCATCATCACCACCATCATCATCATCACCATCAGCATCAGCATCATCACCATCATAACCAGCATCAGCATCACCATCATCATCACCACCACCACCATCATCGTCATCATCATCATCATCATCATCATCACCACCACCACCACCACCACCACCACCATCACCATCATCATCATCATCATCATCATCATCATCATCATCATCATCATCATCATCATCATCATCATCATCATCTCCATCTTCATCACCATCATGATCAACGTCCGCGTCATCATCACCATCGTCATCGTCACCATCATCGCCATCACCAACATCGTCACCGTCATCATTATCACCACCATCGGCATCCGCATGGCATCCGCATGACATCATTGTCACCGTTATCACCACCATCACAAGTGTCACCACTTCTCCATCCCCATCATCACCATCACCTCCATCATCACCATCAACATCACCACCGCCATCGTCACCATCACCATGTTTACCAATACTATCATCACCATCACCATCACCACTACCATCCCCACCACCATCACACTCATCACCATAATCACCATTACCATCATAATCACCGCCACCACCATCACCATCACCATCACCACCACCAGTTTCAGCATGAGCATGAGCATGAGCATGGGCACCAGCAACAGCGTCAGCATCAGCCTCAGCCTCATCATCGTCCTCGTCATCGTCATCGTCAGCATCAACATCGGCATCAACATAAGTATCATCATCATCATCATCCACATCATCACTCTCGTAACGGCTCCACAAAACCTGCAGATACGAGGTGCCACACGTGACGGCCTCCCGTGCCGCTCGAGCAGTCACCGCCCGACATGCTGGGCTGGCACGGCGGTAGGACCTGCTGCAAGCAACTGGATATTTTGGTCCCCCCAGGCAGGGTTGAACCTGAACAATGTTATTCGTTTTCGTTTTGTTATCGTTTTCCCTCGTTTTGTTTTCAATCCGCTTCTACCGCAAAACGAAGTCGAAACGAAAACGGCCCACGAAATTGCCGACGCACCGTTTAGGTCCAGCCCTGCCCTTAGGAAGCCTCCCGAGGACCTGTACGACACATGCTTAGGGGCCGCCTGTGGCCTCTGAGGGAAGCCTCTTGGAGGCTCCTTTGGGATCTCGCGGGGCCTCTTTGGGAGGGCGCGCCGCTGGATCTCCCCAAGGGGGGGGGGAACCCCTCCCCCCCCCGATCCCTTTCCCCGATCCGTCGTCGGGGAATCCCCCCCCCCTCCCCCCTTTCCCGGTCCGTCGTCGCGGACCCCCCCTTCCTCCCCCCCTTTCTCGGTCCGTCGTCGGGGACCCCTCCCCCCCCCTCCGCGTGTGAGTCACTTTACAACCAGAAGCGCACTTTACAACCAGATGGGTCACTTTACAACCAGCTTATAAAATCCAAGAAGGGCACTTTACAACCAGGAAGGGCACTTTACAACCAGGCAAGTAAAACACATATTGAATGCACGCGTGCCTTTCTCTGAAAACTCCGTGGGCAAGCGCAAGGGTGGCTTTGGGCTCTTTGAAGCATGTTGGTTGTAAAGTTGCCCATCGCGCACGAAGAAGCACTGCGCACGAGTTGGCGATGCGGCGACCTGGTGCGCTATGGCATGTTGCGTGCTGGTGGGCGGATTCGAGTTTTGACCTGCTCTCTAAGCTCTGTCGGTCAGTTCTGCCATTGCTGGCTCTGCCTTTTTTTTTTCTGACGGGCGAAGGCTAGTCGCGCAGGACATACGAATTAACCATGATCCCGTCCAAGACTGGAGCTGCATGGCAGTGGAAAGCTGTAGTGGGAGATGTGGTGGAAGCGGGGGCTACACTGGGAACTGCATGGTGTTGGGAAGCTGCGGTGGCAACTATGGTGGTCGCCAGGCGACGGTGGGAACTGTGGTGGTAGCTGGGCTGCAATGGGATTTGCGGTAGTAGCGGGGGGTCAGTCGGAATTGTGGAGGTAGCGGGGCTGCAGCGGTAAGTGTGGTGGTAGCAGGCACAGAGGTGGCGGTGATGCGCTGTCACGGTGGCTCAAGCTGCTGCGCTGGCACGGTGGCTGAGGCTGCTGCCCGAGCACGATACCTGCGTTGCTGCGCTGGCACCGTGGCTGACGCTGGAAGAAACGATCTTCGAAATAGTTGCATTTATTCGGGACGTTGAACCTCGATCTTCCAAGACGAGGAGCAGCAGGGGGCCAACTGGAGCGGGCGCACTTAGCCCCTTGCAGAACACCGCGGGGCTTCAGGGGCCAACGTGGCCCAAGAGACCCGCGGTGCCAATGGCCTAGTTCCCTGGAGCGCTGGGCCCTTGTGGAGGCCACTGGGCTCGCTTCCTGTGAGTGATCCCTAAAATGGGCAGCGCGTCGCCCTGAGCCTTCCTACGTATGCTGTCGCCTTATTCCCGTGCGAGCACGGGGCCCTTGTTGAGGCCGCTTGGCCCCTGCTAGCAAGCCCTGTCTTAGTCTGCTGGGCTCAGAGCGCCAGAGCGTCCAGGCGCTCGGGCTCAGAGGCATCGCTGGGGCCTGCTCAGAGCGTCCAGGCGCTCGGGCTCAGAGGCATCGCTGGGGCCTGCGCAGAGCGTCCAGGTCCTCGGGCTCAGAGGCATCGCTGGGGCCTGCGCAGAGCGCCAGGTCCTCGGGCTCAGAGGCATCGCTGGGGCCTGCGCGGGGCGTTCAGGCGCTCGGGTTCAGAGGCATCGCTGGGGCCTGCGCAGAGAGTTCAGGCGCTCGGGCTCCAGAGCGCCCACGTGCTCTGGATCATTTTTCAGAGCGTCCGCGCGCCCTGGAGCACTTTTGAGAGCGCCCACTTGCCCTGGAGCATTTTTCAGAGCGCCCAATTGCTCTGGGGCATTTTTCAGAGCGCCCACTTGCTCTGGAGCACTTTGCGGAACGCCCAAACACGCACGGCCACTCTGAGCTGGTTGTAAAGTGGTCCGTTCTGGTTGTAAAGTGGCCCGTTCTGGTTGTAAAGTGGCCCGTTCTGGTTGTAAAGTGGGCCGTTCTGGTTGCAAAGTGGACGTTCTCGATGAGGAAACATACTTTCCAATCCTATGTTGGTTGTAAAGTAACCCATCTGGTTGTAAAGTGGTTGTTCTGGTTGTAAAGAAACCGAATCTCCCCCCCCTCCCCCCCTTTGGCCGCCAGATTCGACCCCCCCTCTGGCTTTGGAACCCGACCCCTGGCACCCTTAACGCTACCATCCCGACCACCCGTAACCAGAACCCCAAACCCAAACCCTAGCCCCAGTCTGTACTCAATACTCATTATTCGCTACACCCCTCTCACTACTCCCCTCTCACTACCCACTACTGGCTACTCCCTCCTCACTACTCACTACTCACAGTGCCCTACTCGCTACTCACTATTCCCCACTCGCTACTCCCTACTCTCTACTCGCTACTCACTCCCCACTCTCCACTACTCACTACTCACTGCGCACTACTCACCCCTCACTACTCGCTACTATATACTCACTACTCAATATTCACTACTCACTACTCACTACTGACTATCCCGCGGCCAGACCCCCTCCCCCTTGTGGGAGCGGCCCCATCCCTGGCCCCTTGTTCAGTTCAATCGGGGGGAGGGGGGGGGGGCCGAACTCCCCCTGCCTTCCAGCGCCAAGGGAGGAAGGGGGGGGGTCGGAACCCCCTTCCCCGTTTCTAAAGGTGGGGGGGGACAGGGGGGTTCGGACCTCCCCCCCCGGGGGGAGGGGGGGGGGTCGAAAATCTCCCCCACCCTTGAAGGGGGGGAGGGGGGGGGAAGTTCTGCGAGCCCCCCCCCCCCTTTTCAATTACAGCGTGATCCAGTGGTGCGCTTTACCTCTTTGGGGCCTCTCGGAGGCCAGCAGTCAGTGGCAGGCTTTTTGGGGCCTCTCTGGGGCTCTCTTGGGGTGGGTTGGGTCCTCTTGGGCAGGGTGTTGGCCCGTGTAAGGCCCATTGAGCTCTAGGGGCGTGTTTTTTCCCAGACGCAGCAAAGCATGGCAAGAAAGCGGATGATCAGCTGCCCCTTGCAAGCGGAATCCGGTTATGATACATCGCGCAACTTCGGTGTGAAAGTGTGCGCAACTGCCGCCAAGTAGCGAAGTCTCTGCATTCTTCTGTCCGCAACTGCCGAAAAGTAGGAAACTATAACCCACAATTGGGGGGGGGAGCTCGGGAGCTCGACCCAAAATGAAAGGCAATACCGGGCGAAATCCGGAACAGTTTCGCGCTCTGTCGGCGCAGTCCCTTCGATCGTTTGGGGATCGACGAGTTCTAGCAGAGTCAATCTGTCTGCGATCAGGATGAAGAAATGGAGCACCTAATTAGCGGCTCTCGTCTGCGGAGCCTCCGCAGAAAATCACCTAAGCCAGAAACTCCTGCAGCGCACCCATGTCAGGACTTCTTTGTCTTCCTCTGAGGCTCTGAGGGGGACGGGCGAGCGCCTGGCAGGCACTGAAAGATGTGGCGGGATCGAACAACAATCAACGCCAACGCGCCCGCGATTGCCGCAAAATTGGGGGGGCGGCACCCCATGTCGTCTGTCGCTCAGATCCACGCGAAACGAACAACCGACAAGTATACATATACGTAGCACCTCGCAGTTGCTTATTCGCTGGCCCAACGGGCCAGAGGCGTGCTGAGATCTCCGGTAACAGGTTAACGATATTTCTAGTTCGAGCACGCGTGGCAGCCCCTGGGGACTCCCAGGCGAAAAGTACCTGGCTGGTCCGACTCAGAGATGGTTTATCCTTCTGGGCGCGGCTTTCAGGCGCCCCAGAGCCCCAGAGCGCTCCTTGAGGGCCCCAAGAGTCCCCAAGACGGTCCAAGAGGGCCCCGAGTCGCCGACCGATCTGTCCAAGACGCCCAAGACAGCCTCCAGACGGCCGCAGACGCTGCGAAAAAGCCCCAGGAGAGCCTCAAGAGGCTCTCCAAGAGGACCTCGACAAGCAACAATAAATCACCCAATCCCTCCAGAAAACGTGTATTTGTCGCATTGGCGACAGTTCTCGTCTTTTCGGCTTCCCAACGCTCCAAGGCGGCCCAAGAGGCTCCCAAAACCGCCCCAAGACGGCCCAAGATGGCCCAATGTGGCCCCAAGACAGCCCAAGAGGCGCTCAAAATGGCCCAAGATGGCCCCAGAACGGCCCCAAGAGAGGCCCAAGATGGGGACCAGGAACCGAACAGTCTAGCCTTCAGCTCCAAGAGGTCAAGGGGCCCCCAAGAGGTCAAAGGGCCCCCAAAAGGCACCACAAGAAGCCCCAAGAGGCCCCAAGAGGCCCCAACACGGCCCCGAGGAGAGCTCGAAACTGCCTCCCAGGGGCTCCCAAGAGGACCCAACACGGCCCTCAAGCGGCGAGGCAACATGGGCCAGCGGAATGAACGAAGCGATTAAATCAGAGCGAGGGGGGGGCAGGGACGTCGGCAGTCTGCCTGGCCCCGAAGAAGCCCGCCGCAAACGCCGCATTTCTACAAATTATACAACGAGTCCGCCGCAGGCGCAAATTTTTGCGTGGGTAGAGGATGGGTCGCGGGTGGGTCGCGGGCCAGGTCGCGGGTGGGTCGCGGGTGGGTCGCGGGCTGGGTCGCGGGTGGGTCGTGGGTGGGTCGCGGGTGGGTCGCGGGTGGGTCGCAGGGTGGATCGCGGGTGGGTCGCGGGTGGGTCGCGGGTGGGTCGCGGGTGGGTCGCGGGTTGGTTGCGGGTGGGTTGCGGGTGGTTCGCGGGCAGAGTGGTGGAGGGGACGACGACAACAACGCAACCAACAACAACAAGCAGAATCCGCGCCGCGGAATCCCACTTCAACCACACACCCAAGGATAGTGAATGACCGTTCCGCTCCCTCACTTGGTGTATACTTGTGAGTTCGACGGCTGGTGCCTGCTTGGCTAGACCAATACAAACAAACTGGGGGGAGCTTGGGAGCTCGACCCAAAATAAAAGCAGGCCACGCTGCCAGACCGCAGCAACGACGTGAAATATGGCTGGGCGGCCTCTTGGAGGCCTAGGAAGGTCGGCGAATGTGCCAGGGGCGTCCACCGATCAACGGCATACCGAGACGTCCGTGGGAGGCACTGAGTCCTCCAGGCCACGGGGATCTCACCCACAGTTCCGGGAACCCTTGCTTCCATGTGAACTTGTGAAAAACAACATAATGTATTACCCCCCGTAAACATCCGTGACAACGGGAGGCGCGTGGTAGGATCTGGCCGCCGTGTGGCGGGCTCGGACATGGCACTGACAGTAGTGACGGAAATAGCAAAACTAATGATAGTAGGAGCACTGGTAACGGCCACGAAGACGACGAGGGCGACGGCGACCACCAGCGGTGACGACAACGACAATGACAACGCCCACGAAGAAGACCACGACCAGCGGCGACGATAACGACGAATGGCGGCAACGTCGGCTAGTAGCTGCAGAGATAAAAACACGTAGCATCAGTACCAGGAGCAATCGTAGTACCAAGAGAAAACAAATAAAATAAGTAGCCGTAACTGATAGTAGTACTAGTAGTAGTAGTAGTAGTAGTAGTAGTAGCAGTAGTAGTCATAGTAGCCGTAGTGGTAGTGGTAGTTGTAGTACAAAAATGTAGTGCCAGTCATCGTCATAACACGGGCAACACTCATAGCACCATGACCACTATAGCACTACGTCGCGTAGTGCTGCAACGGCCAATAATACAGCTGCGGCTGCGACGACTACTTCCACTACGTCCATCCATCCCTACTCCTACTACCATTACTATGAAGACGCATGCTAGTACTGCTATTACGATGTTTGACACGACGGATACGAGTAGCCGAACCATTACGTATAACGTAGCCCGACGTACTGGTAACAGTGGTATCAGTGGAGGCAGCAAACAAAAGTGCGAGGGTGGCATATAATAGGCGTACAGATGTGGTAAGATTAGAGATTAGTATGGTGTTAGCATGCTCTGCCTTGTGTAGTCGCAGTGGTAGTGGTAGTGATAATGGTAGTAGTAGTAGTAGTAGTAGTAGTAATAATAGTAGTAGTAGTAGTAGTATTAGTAGTCGTAGCCGTAGTCGTAGTAGTAGTAGTAGTAGTAGCAGTAGTAGTATAAGTAGTAGTAGTAGGAGTAGTAGTAGTAGTAGTAGTAGTAATAGTAGCAGTAGTAGTAGTAGTAGTAGTAGTAGTAGTAGTAGTAGAAGTAGTAGTAGTAGAAGTAGTAGTAATAGTAATTGCAGTAGTAGTAGTAGTAGTAGTAGTAGTAGTAGTAGTAATAGTAGAAGTCGAAGTAGTAGTGGTAGTCGTAGTCGTAGTAGTAGTAGTAGTAGTAGTAGTCGTAGTAGTAGTAGTAGTAGTTAGTAGTAGTAGTAGTAGTAGTAGTAGTAGTAGTAGTAGTAGTAGTAGTAGTAGTAGTAGTAGTAGTAGTAGTAGTAGTAGTAGTAGTAGTAGTAGTAGTAGTAGCAGAAGTAATAGTTGAAATGCTGATGCTACTAGTCGTAGGAGGAGTCTCAGTCCTAGTAGCAGGAGTCGTAGTCGTAGCAGCAATAATCGCAGGAGTCGTGGTCGTAGTAACATAGTATTAGGAGTAGCCGTAGTAGTAGTAGTAGAAGTAATAGTAGTAGTAGTAGTAGTAGTAGTAGTAGTCGTAGTAGTAGTAGTATTAGCAGGAGTAGTAGTACTCGTACTAGTACTTGTACGAGTAGCAGGACGAAGAGTCGTAACACCCGTAGTGGTCGCAGTCGTAGTAGTCGTAGTAGTAGTAGTAGCAGCAATACCGCTAGTAACAGTAATACAACAAAAGTAGTCGTGGTGGTAGTCGTAGTAAACATGAAACAACAAAATTTGTACCTGCAGTCGTAGCCGTAAACGTAATAGCAGTAGTGGTAATAGTGGTCGCAGTGGTCGTACTCATAAGGAGTAGCAGTAGTAGTCGTACCAATAAGACTTGTAGTCGTAGTACTACTAGTAGTCGCAGTGCGAGTACCAGTAGTAGCAGCAGCAATGGTTGTAACAAGACACATCATAATAGTAGTAGGACCCGCCGCAAGGATAACGCAAAAATGCGCACCATGAATACTAGGAGCACTCATAGCAGCAACAGTAGTAGTAGTAGTAGTAGTAGTAGTAGTAGTAGTGGTAGTAGTAGTAGTGGTACTAGTAGTCCTAGTAGTAGTAGTAGTAGTAATAATAATAGTAGTCGTAGTCGTCGTAATAATAATAAGGGTGGCCGCGCTATTCGTTGTAGTAGTAGTAGTAGCAGTAGTAGTAGCAGTCGTAATAGTAATCGGGGAAGTAGCAGTAGTAGTGGTGGTAGTAGTAGTCCTAGTAGTAGTAGAAGCAGTAGTAGTAGTAGTAGTAGTAGCAGTAGAAGTAATACTACTCGTGGCCGTCACCGTAGTAGTAGTAGTAGTAGTAGTAGCCGTAGTGGTAATACTGCCAGTAGTAGTAGCAGCACTGGTCGTAGGGTGCGACACAATCGCCTCAATTGCAGTCGTTAAGAGTAGTGCTGGTAGCCGTCATCGTTGTCGACGGCGTCGTCGTCAGCATCGCCGTCGGTGGTAGTAGTAGTGGTAGTAAAAGTAGCAGGGTAATCGCAGTCGGATTTCTAGCAGCAGCAACAGCAGCAGCAATAGTAGCAGTAGTAGTAGTAGTAGTAGCAGCAGTAGTAGTAGTAGTAGTAGTAGTAGTAGTAGTAATAGTAGTAGTAGTAGTAGTAGTAGTAGTCGTCGTAGTAGTAGTAGTAGTAGTAGTCGTAGTAGTCGTAGTAGTCGTAGTAGTAGTAGTAGTAGTAGTAGTAGTAGTAGTAGTAGTAGTAGTAGTAGTAGTAGTAGTAGTAGTAGTAGTAGTAGTAGTAGTAGTAGTAGTAGTAGTAGTAGTAGTAGTAGTAGTAGTAGTAGTAGTAGTAGTAGTAGTAGTAGTAGTAGTAGTAGTAGTAGTAGTAGTAGTAGTAGTAGTAGTAGTAGTAGTAGTAGTAGTAGTAGTCGCCGTAGTAGTACTAATCCGCCGACCCCTTGGGTCATCGGCGTGTGAGATGCTTCCCCCTCCCCAAACCCCTCCCCCGGGAACCCGGTCCGGTCGATTTGGAGGGGGGGGGGGGGCCGACCACGAGCGACTCACGACGCCCTTCCGGGCCCAAAAGGGCCCAAATACGGGCCAAAAAGGCCCCAAGAGGCCTCCCAGACGTTCCAAGAGGCCCCCAGACGCCCCAAGAGACCGCCTAGACGCCCTAAGAAGCGCCCAAGAAGCCCCAAGAGGCTTCCAAGACGCCCCACGAGGGCTCCAAGACGCCCGAAGAGACCTCCAAGACGCCCCAAGAGACCTCCAAGAGGCCCCCGAGGAGCGCCCCAAGAGGCCAAAATCGTTGATTTCATTGGTTTTTTTTTTTGATGTTTTCGTCATTTTCGCCTTTTCGGCCTTCCGACGCTCCAAGACAGCCCAAGAAGCTCACAAGACTGCTCCAAGACGGCACAAGAGGCCTCCACGACGCCCCCAAGACGGCCCAGGAGAGCCCCCAGACGGCCCGAGAGCCGCCCAAGGCGGCCCAAGAGAGCCCCCAGACGGCCCAAGAGCCGCCCAAGACGGCCCAAGAATTTCCCTGAGACGGGCCCAAGAGGGGCTCCAGAGAGAGACCACGCACCGGAAAACCCAGCCTTACGCCCCAAGAGGCCCCCAGGAGGCCCCAAGAGGCCCCAAAGAGGCCCCAAGAACCCCCCAAGAGGCCCCCAAGACGTTCCAAGAGGCGCCCAAGAAGCCACAAAGAGGCCCCAAAACGGCCCCCAAGAGCCTTCGAAACTGCTCCAAGAGGCCCGCTAGAAGCCCCCCCGCAAGATCCCAACGGACATCTCCGAACACACCGGTTTTTCGAGTCGCGCCCAGCCCCATAACCCGGAGCCTCATCTCAGTGTCCCCCTCCTCCTCCTCTTCCTCCTCCTCCTACACTTCCTCCTCGTTCCCCTCCTCCTCTTCCTGCCCCGCTTCAGCTCATCCTCACCGATGCTTCTCCCCCCCGTTTTCCGCCTCACCCCCCATCCTCCTCTTCCCGTCCACCCTTTTCTGCCCAGTACGCGCAACCGAATGGGCATCATTTGCACGTCTTGCACTTTAGGGTGCCCTTTTTTGCGTCGTGCGGGACATTGTGCGGGTCGGGGAACGCCGACTTTGGTAGTCCTCTCTTGCACGCGCCGCTGCAGTGATAAGCCTGGCAACTGCGCGCTGTGAACCCGACTTCCTCGCAGCTTCTGCACACCACTTTAGCTCCTGTCGCCGCTCGATGATGTTCCACTTGCTTCTGCTTCAAATTTTTCGTGTCCGAGAACGCGCCTTTGCACGCCGCGCACGTCAGCGGCTTCGCGTCCGCCTCTGCTTTCCGCTTGCGATTCTCTGCATCCGCCTTCTCGTTCCGCCCACCCTTCTCGTTGCGGGCGCACGCCCTGCAAAGCCTCTCCCCCGCATCTTTCGAGTCGTACTGGTTCGGGGGATAAAGTCGGGCCATGACGCCCCCAAGACGTCCAAGATTGCCTCAAAAAAAACAAGGGGTCGGCGGTGTGGCGCAAGCCTAAAGAATCATAATAGTACTCGTCACCGCAATAATCGTAATAGTAACCGTCGGGGTCGCAATAGGTAGGTAGGTCGGTAGGTAGGTAGGCAGGTCGGTCGTAAAAGTAGTAGTAGTGGTAGTAGTCCCACTTGTAGTACTTGTAAACAGAGTACTAATAAAAATAATTTGCTCCTGCCGGGCGCGCGGAAGCACGCTTGGGCGCCCGGGAGCCGCCGCGCCGGGAGCGGCAGCGTCGTGCCCTGGAAAATCAAAATCGCGCCACCTTGTGCTTGGTGGCGAAGCAGGAGGCGGGGAGGGGAAGGGAGGGGAGGGGCGGGGAAGGGGGGGGGGGGGAAGGGGAGGGTCCGGGAATTCGAACTTCCATCACGGGTATGCTCCACATTTTGCTGCACTGAGGACTGCGGCCGAATGCCGTGGGTTACCGACGTTGAGATCCCCTCCTCTCAAACTCTGGCTTAGTATAGGTTGTATATGGGACCAATATTCTTTCAAAGCCTCACTCGCCCACCTGAGCCTTGGTCGCCCTACCCTTTTTTTGCCAAATTCTTTGGGGCGAATCGAATCGGCCTCGAAGGTGGCCTGTCTGAGGGGATCGTCATTGCTGGCTGCGAGTACTTGCTGGAGTAAGATCATCTTCCGGTGTTTGTAAACTTCCGAAAACAACTTGATCCTGCCCTGCCCTGCCTGGTTGGTGACGTGTGAGTTGGCAAGCTCCAAGACCCTTGCGTTACTGTTGGATCGATTGACATACGTCGTATCTAAGCGTAAGATTTTGCGC